TCAAAACAAAATAAGAGTTCGTAATTTTAAGATGGCAAAATCAACGGATATAATAGAGAGATCAATAGCACGGATCGAGTCATCGCACCCGACTTTATCATAACTACTAGATCATACGGTGCACATATAGTATCCACCATGAATATAAGGAAAAATGAAATAAATGGTAATCACCAAACTTTTAATTTAAATGTAGTACTTAAACTTTTAACGCATTTTCAATTTAGTCCATGAATTATATGAAAATGTTCATTATTGTCCACCTAAATTAATGGAAGAACAACATCGAACATATTCATATAATTTAAGGGCTACATTTAACACGTGCCAAAAGTCCAAATATCACAATGTACGAATTAAAAGTAACATTATAGGCTAAGTTCAGGGGTCACATTGAACGAGTTAGAAATTCACGGATCATATTACATATTGGGTCAAAAATTCACGAATCACTCGTGTCATATCTCCATCCTGTATGTACTGCAATCACACCACCGCGGTAAAAAGAAGTGGAATGCAATTCGGAAGAGGGAAATGAAGAGCATAACACATGTAAATAATAAATGGATGAATAAATTGGGGAAATATATAAGGGGGGGTTGGCACCAATCTTGGCTACATTGTAGCGATTGTTCCCGTACGATCTTCGAGGTGATGTGACGTCCCGGCGTTTTGTGCCCACATCAAATCAAATCTTTGCCCCCGCCCCCCATCTCCCTCCCTCTTTACAGCTGTATGGTCCCGATTGATTTCTATTCCCCGCCCAATCCCCTCCTTTCCCTCCAAAAGCTCCCCCTCTCTTACGTGGCCTCGTCCCATCATGCCCACGTCACCGTGACCCCCCCCCCCCCCCGGGGGGGGGGCATGTTCGTCCATTGCCATCGCTACTAAACCCACGCTAATCTAAGTACTTAGGAGATCGCCGGACGTACGCCGTACGGTGCAGCGGCCGAGGGATACCGTCCCACCACCCCTGTCGGACACGTGGCCCCGCGGCCCCGGTCAACGTTCCCGACCCCCGCTGGCCTCGACGGGGTAGGGACCAAGTTGGGGGGGGGGGGGGGGGGCCGCCCCGCGGGGGCATTTCGGTCAATCCGACCCCCCCCCCCAACCCATTCTCCTCATGATGATGACTGACTTTTTGGGTGGTTTATTACTTTTCATGCAGCGGACCATCATGCTCCAATTGCTCTCTTTTGGAATAATTGCCACATTATTATTATTTTAGAGTGCATTGATTCGATCTCCTTTTTCAATTTTTTTAACTGCTCTTTTTTCTCGCAGGCCGACACGCCGAAGTATATGCACATGAAAAATTTGAGATATGGCCAAAAGATTAAATGGAAATAATATATGTTTTAGGCATCTTTTTTATAGGAGTGACAATAATAGAAAACAATAATCTCAACGTTGCTGACAAAATTCTCGGTTCCTTCCTTCCTACAAAACCCCTCCCCCCCCCCCCCCCCCTCCCCTTCCAGTCCTTAAATTACCTATCTATTTTAATTCCCTCAATGACGAGAAAATCGAATTACTGAAAAAGGAAAAAAAAGAATTTATTAAGAATTCCCGATTTCTCCCTGGCAAAAAAATTAGATATTAGAGAGAGAGAGAGAGAGGGTGGTAGGGGTGCCGTGGTCGTGGTGGTGGTGGTGGTGGTCGTCGTCTTATCTAGTGTTCCTGTACATCTGATGATGATTCCGGGGCGGAGAATCGAAGCCGCTTGTTGGGGGGGGGGCGGCGGAGGAGGAGGAGGGGGCGGCGGCGGAGGCTCGGCTCGGGTGGCGGTGGCGCTGGGGTGGTTGTCGGAGCGCGTGTCGCAGCTCCTGCAGGCGGCCGCGTCGAGGACCCCCACCGGGCTGGGCGGCGCGGCAGGCGGGTCGGGCCCCGCGACTTTGACCGTCCCGGAGGGACACGTGTCCACCAGGTACTCCTCCATTAGTTGGCGACAGCTTCTCACCATTTCCTGTCCCTCCCCAACAAAAAAAATAAAAAATAAAAAATAAAACACAAGATAAATTATAATTTCACGAAAAGGACCGGAAAAAGAAAAAGAAAAAAAAAAACACAGACACAAAAAAAAATCTACGAAAAAGAGAATTAGGATTTTCCCTCTTCATGCCCCTGAACTAAAACTACGAAAAATCATGTATTCACTGCTGCGCTCAATGACGATTATACCCTTCGCAGAAGAAGACGGGAGAGATATCATGAGAGGAGGCACGTACCCTGTCCAAGCTGTCGTGCAAAACCGGGGGCTCGTCGCCTCCCCCCTCGCCGGCGGCGCATAGCACGGCGGCCGCCGCTATCGTCGACGGCGTGAAACCCAGGAAGTCGATCACTGCAGTGACGCAGCAGATGCAAAGCAGGGGAACCAAAAACCAAAGAGCTGTCAGCATTTATCATCGGAGAGTTGAGCTTTGTTGAATGAAAGGGGGGTGCGGATCGGGTCGAGAACGTTACCCCGGGCGGTGCTGACGATGAGATCCGACGAAGTCGACAGCACCCGACACGGCGAAGAAGGAGAAGAAAGAGGAGGGAGCTTGGGGACGAAAGAAGGGAGGAAATCGAAAGGAGTGACGGAGCGGAGTCGCCAATCGAGGTTGGACATGACCCAGAGCTCCATCCTCTGCACCGTCCCGGGCTCGAACACGAACTTCGGATCGAACGCCTGGAGGTCCAGCAGCAACGGCACGTCCGGCTCCTCCATCTTCGCTGCCAGCGACAGGCACGCCACCGAGAGCAGCTGGAACGCCCACCCATTTGTCTCCCTCTGTTGTTTTTTTTTCCAGACAGAAGGAAGAAAGAATCAGCTTTTCTCGGGAAAGTCGAGAGCGAGGAGGATAGGTTGAATGTGGGTTGCTTACAGGGAGAGAATGGAAGGAGAGGAAACGGTCGAGGTAGTTGACGGAGAGGAAGGCGGTGATTGGTCGGAAGCGGTAGTGTGCATGCACCTGCACCACAACAACATCATCCATCATCATCCACCACCAACACCATCATCAGCATCATCATCATCATCATCATCATTAATCGACATTAGTCTAATCCGATGCAACGAGAGAGACGCATTGACGATCGATGAGCAGTACCCTCAAGATCCAGTTGATGGAGTCTTGGCGCGCGGTGACGTCGATGGAGCGGTCCCGGCAGCGCCGGAGGTAGTCGGGCCGGGGCATGTGGTGGGTCTCCGAGCCGATGAGCCCGAGGACGACGGTGTCCGCGTCGTCGTCGGAGGGGAGAGGAAAAGGGTCGGAAGAGGGCGGCGGCGGCGGCGGGGGGGAGGAGGAGGAGGCTGGGTCGGGGGATTGAGCGGGGATCCACGCGTCCTCATCGGAGACGTCCTCGCCGCAGTGGAGGCGGTGGTGGTCGACGGGCGAAGGAGGCGGCATCGTGGCGGCGGCGCGGGGATGGCATTGGCCGTCACGGCGGCGGCGGGGCCGGCGGCGCCGAGGAGGAGGAGGCGGAGGAGGAGGCGGACATGGTGGGGGGTTTTTTCTGGGTGAGGCGGAGGAGGAGGAGCTCAATGGGGGGGGGGCTCTCTTCCTCCTTTTACTTTACTTGAGGCGAGGTCGCGTTTTTCCTTTTTCCTCTTTTCTTTTCTTTTTCTCTTCTTTTCTTTTTGGCTTTTCTCCTTTCTAGAGTTCCCCTGTTTTTTGTCTGCTTCTTCTCACCAACAAGAACCCCCCTCTCTCTCTCTCTCTCTCTCCTCTCTACTTTTATGCTATAAAGCAGCAGGTGAGCTTGACTGTTGGAGTGTATTACCGATGAACATGTCAAGATGCAGAGATAGTGAGAGAGAGAGAGAGAGAGAGAGAGATTACTGGAGATGATGGTGCAGAGGAGGAGGAGCTGCTTAGGATGAGCAGACCAGACCCCCCTACTTCTCTCTTCTTTCTCCCCAAGCTTAGGATGAGCTTAGGATGGCCCGAAACTGTTTCAAATGTCCCCCATTAATGTACATTTGACTCTTCCACTTGCCCCTCACGTGTTGCGCGCCAAGATCTTCCTAAATTCTAAAAGGAACCACCTGGTGCCTGGCCAAACCACCGATCTAATTTCGCTATTCTGCATCGTAGTTCTCAAGAAGAGCACGGCGGATCGCGTCATCATCATGACCGTTCGACTGTACCGCGTCTCGATTAACTTGATTGCGCAATCATTCGAGTAAGACGTGCCAATCGCTTCGATACCACAATCATTTTGCGTGTTGTGGCCTTCCTTCGTCCAAGAGCGTCGCATCGGTTTATGACTAGTTAGTGGTTAGGTAGGTAACGTGGTCTTTAGGCTTTGGTGGATTACTGAGAAGATAAGTATTGTATCCTTGGACTCTTTAAAAGATCGTATCAACGCCATTCTCGTGATTTAGTTGTATCATGTCTTGAATTCTTTACGAGAGGAGTTTAAACCAGATGGGTCGGATAGGATCGTCGCAAATATCAATTGCCATTACACATTGTATCTTAGATTGTTACAGGACACCTCTAGTTTAAGGAGTTAAAAAGGTCTATGGTTTCAGCATACGGATGGATTACTCTAGCCGATACTGACATGTCTTAGCGTTTGTTCCCCGATTGCGGCTATTTATGATGGTCAATACTCGTCCCAACTATGTCATGATTAACAGTTTTTAAGTTCGAAAACTACTGACGAGGCTGGTTAAAAAATACATGATGGGATCTAAGTCCGACAATTGTACCGAACTCAATAATAAGTGAAGAAGCAGACAGCACAAGATACATAATGACCGAAAACGATTGTTCATCCGACTTATGATCTTTGAATTTTGACGACTTTTTGTCCAGCATGATATAAGTACGCCTTTTTCACACCTCGTTGCGTTGACTAATCGCGATTTTTACTTTCCTTCTTGAACTGGAATCGGCTGGACAGATACTCCTCCATGTGCAAGCATTCATGGCACTTACAAATTATGGAAAATTCTAACAGGGGCTCGCCCACTTTTCCTAATGGCATGAAGCTGAAGAAACTCTCGAGTGTAGACAGAAGGAATCATCTTTTGAAGCAGTCATTATGTTCATATACCAGTAAACTGAATAGGTTCAAGTGCTCCTATAATTTTGCTTCTCAGTTTTCCCTTTCCTTGTGTAGCAAGGTTTCTGTGATGCGATAAACATAATTACAACTTCACCATCCGTGGTCAAATACAATCATCGATAAGCATAGGGAGTGTACCCAAATGCAGTAGATCAGGTTATTTTGAATCTCTTATATCTTGACTCCTAATCATGAGGAAACACGCAAAGACATATACCAAATCCCCTTGTCGTCAGAACGAAGGGAAGAACCTATTGAGGTTGTAGGGAAGTGAGTAAAACTCTTCACTTCTCATGTCTGCACTGAAAACAGTGAATTTTGCCCACCAGTGACGTCCAGAGTCCGTCCGTACCGCGCTGTGTCCCCAACTATGAGTGCGGTCCAATAAATAAGCCACCATTAACGCCACGGTGGGGGCCGACGAGAAAATCACTTGCATTATGTTGTTGAACTGCAAGTGACAGGAGATGTGTACATTTATATTTGGCAACAAGAAACTTGTTTATGTTACGAAGCGCAAAAAGAAATTAAGGAACTAGGGATGGAGGACTTAGCAAGAGTCGCGTGCACAAACCGAAATTGAGCGCGTGTGGACAGGACCATTGCCAGCGGCCAAAAGATATTCTTCAAAGTATTGTGGCACTGAAAGACCCATGAAGAGAGAGAAACCCAGAATAAACTTTGTCCTAAAGCTGTTCAAGTTGCAGAACTGGAGGAAACTGAGACCCGCCGCAGCTGCTCAAAGCACAGTTATCATACAAGGAAAACTCAATTTAGGGAACTCCAAGCACAGACCTCTTCTTAAAATTAACTTGAAGATCTTATACATTTCCTCACATGCTTTGCACAAGTATGTTAGTGCGTGAAAACTCTAATTTTAACCAGATGAATATATGGTTAATCAGTATCTGAGGTTTCATGATCATTGCAGGTACATAGCATGAGCACTTCCAAAATTTCATCATCATTCAGTTACAATTAGGTACCCCTCCATTTGGCAGGTTCAACTTCGAAACTTTATCTGCTTACAAAATCCTAAACTAGACGCGAGCTAAGTAATTAATCTACAATGTTCAGTGTTCTGATTCTGAAATCCCAAAGAGCTCTGGGTAAATACACTAATAACGAACAAAATCTATTTTTTTTTTTTTTTGGGTAAGGGTAACGAACAAAATCTTTTGTAGAACTCCTTTACGAGAATTTCATGACATGAAAAGAGACATACCGACATAGGCAAAGAGGACACAGTACAAAGCAGCCACGATAGGTAATGGGATAGAAGCAAGCACAGCACCAAATTTTCCTGCCATATGGGGACACGAAGGCCTTTAGCAAGAAGGGAAATATTGTCACAGGCACAAACAGAAAAGATAAGGCGTATCTTTGACTGCAATAAGGAATACTGCACCTAACACAGAAAAGAAGAGCATAAAGCCGGCTGATATTTCGATAACTCTTCGACTTCCAATCCTCGTTAATCCCAAAAGACCAGCATTTTCACTGAAAAAATAGCAAAAAGGTTGTGAGGTCACAAGAAAGAGAAGATTCGACTCACATGGGGTCTCGCTTATGTAACTGAGGTGTGATTTAAGTTCTCAAACCTTATTTTACAGAGTTAAAGAGTTATGAAATCAGTAACGCCATGTTAAAGATATCGAGAGAAGCTTTTCACAAGCTTTTTACACTTCTTCATTGAATTTTCAATTCTCCTTTATCGACGATAGACAAAAGGGAGCTTTTGTACAACTCCAGAAAAATGGTCAAGAAAGCTCAGAACATCAGGACCATAACATCTAGCCAGTTTTACAAAACGAACTTAGAGAGGGATAAAATTGCATTACGTACACTGATGCAGCGGATCCAGTCGCTGTCCCAAAAGCCCCATCTATCAGAGTGCTTATGCCCTGGAATTCCGAGGTTTGACCAATTCTTAGGAGCTCCACATAATATATCAAGAAGTATACATTAAGCAACGTCAATTGTCAGGTGATTACCAGCCACCCTACTCCACGACTCAGCACAGATGGGGGCACTGGGGTTGCACTTGCATATCTCGATGCAGCAATAAAGGTTCCTGTTGACTGCAAGAAGAATGGTCCTCAGAACGTTGACAAATGAATAGGATGACAATCTTCCTTACTTTAAGATTCAACAGTTTGTTACATCCTCGGACCTTGACTACTTTTTCATGAAATATAAAATTGAAACCACCACTTACTATAAGCAGTTTAACAGATCGAGATGTTATGATTCTGAATCTAACCTCTATAAGAGCAACCATTGAAGAAGCCATCATGGCAAAAGCATCGCCAGCATCAAAAGATGGTCCTCCCCATTGAAATGGATATGGAACCCTTATCCTGCAAGCCATGAACCATGATGGTGCACAAAATTTTAAATAATACCCCCATATTCTTGTGAATAATTAACTGCATCAGGTAAACTGCAAAGGAGCCCCTATGGCAATTGGATTCTAACGATATAACTGGCCAGAAAGACATGTAATGACTTCACTTCCATGCGCGTGAAACAAAATATGCAAAATGAATTAATTAGTCCCGTATCACTTCACCATTCAGCACCGCCAATAAGCCCAGAACGATCTGTACGGCAGCTGATTTGAGTATTTATTGATCTCCCATTGTAAGCACCAGATAGGGTTAAGAGTGCTGCAAATGCCCACACGATCGCTACTGAGAACAGGACCGCACCTCGATCAAAAATGGCTCTTCGGGATGACATCAAGTGCGGAATATACTGCAAAACAACGTGTTCCCTCAGACATCTACCGTATGATTAGGACACAACGACAAGAGAGTAGCTCAGGAATTTACTCCCACGATAATGGGCTTTGTCATCACTTTCATTTTTCTTTATGAAACCATTATTTTCAATAAGAAGATTGGCTCCCCCAGAAAAGAAGATACAAAACTAAGGAAATCATCAGCACATTGCTCACCTGAGATATAACAATCAGTAAAATCAACTCTGGGAGTCCAATTTCAACACATTTTGCCAGCTGCAATCATTAACAAATAGTTTAAGGACTTTCAAGATGACTAGACACATGCATGTACAGTACCGCGGGGCCATATGATTCACAACCTACACCATGAGGCAAGCAAATATGGCCTAATGATCATGAGAAGGTACAATTCTTTTCTGTTTCTGCCTGCAACATGTTCACTGCTGGAACATGTAACTTCACTGTTAGAAAAACGGGGTGCAAGTGCAATAGACATCTGTGGACAAATACTTTTCCACAGCTAATGTGGAAAGAGATCAATTCCTCTGCCCCACCACATACTGCCATTAGTTTGTGCATTTAATTTGCAGGCATGGTCATTTGCAACAAGTCATCTGAGCCATGAACAAAAAGCACACATCACGATCAGGTCTCCCAACAAGTCAAGAACAAAGCAAAAGTTCCATAATTCTATTCAGTTTCTGCTTATGATCAAAACTTGTTCCATGACAAGACCAATGTACTAAATTTGTTTCCAGCAGAGAGCTAACGATAGATCTGACTCGGATAAGAGAAAATTCTACGACCATCCGAGATGTGAGCTGTTTAAATTGGACATGAACAAAACAGGGGTGCAAACTTTCTTGCCTCTGGGAAGCCACGAGCAAAAAGGCCGAGACCGGTGAGAGTTACAAAAGGAACCACTGAAAGAGGGGATAGAAACCTGCCAATAAATCAACTTAGCTTTGCAGTATAACAACCCATTAAGATCTCAAAAGTGGAAAGTAGTTTAGCACTACAATACCGTGTGAAAATTCTCCAGAAGCCTAGAAAACCAATCACCATCTGGAAGAGCGACGCAATAAGAAGTGCTCCTTGCATACGCTGCATCGACTGTTTGAACCTCTACTTTGTTCATGATAGCACAGGACAAATAGAACAAATCAATGTCTAATGTAAAATCTGGTTGACTCATATCAGGGAAAGATGTAAAGTAAGAAAGAGAAGACAACAAAATATACTGGAGCATTTAAATTAACTGAAACTTTCATTCTAGGTTAATCATGGAATAAGAATCCGTGACGTTTGCTTATAGAACAATCGTCATCCTTTTGTTCTTATCCTGGTAAACTTCACCACCAATTCTACTTTGCAGCCATTGATATAATTTACAAGATCCATATAGGAAACGATGAAACAGGTTAGCCAACCTCATGTGGGTCCACATAATTTGAGTTTCTGTTAGACACAGCAATAGAGATTGCTGGGATAAGATACGCTGATGAGCTCCCTATGACCACAGGAAGCCGAGATCCAAACCAAGTCTGTTGGAGGGTGTTTATACCCGCAACAAAGAGCATGGTATTTATCATCTGAGACTTCTCAAACTGTCATCATCGAAGGCAAGAATCATCTTAGAAAGAGTAAGAGAGAATGAGAAGTAACAGAATACACGCATGACATTGAGTCGAATGCTTACATTCCCTCCACCCATTAAAGGAACAAGTATCGTTGCAATAATGACAATGGTGCCCAGCATTACTAGATAATGTTGAAATCCCAGCAGCATAGCTTCAGCTGCAGTAATTGAAAACGATTTTAGCTACCATAGGACAAACTTGAGATGGCCACTTGTTAAGGAAAAGAAAACGAGCAGTTTCCAATGGAGATTTGGTACAAAACAGAAGCATGTACAGGATCGTGCATAACGAAGCACCAAACACAAGCTCAGGAAGGGAAACAAATCATAGGAGTGGTGGAATATTGGAGGTAATAATATTCTAAAGTGTGCCGTTATTTCTACAGCTGGTTTTCGTTTATGACATGGAAAATTAAAGTAGCATACCAACTAACGTCGCGACTTATTTCCATGCCGATGTAGGAACAACACACGAGGATGGTTTACAATATTGCAGTAGCAGGATTCAGATCAAAGGCAGCTGTGCATATTCGTGAGAACTTCTATCCAGGAAAGCATACTTTTCAAGCAGAGCCTTGTGACCCAAGAAATCAAAAACCAAACACGATGGGGGGTTTCTTGTTCTCCCATGTTCTTTCTTTATCCCTTGCCCTTTTTTTTTTTTTTTGTCTTTATATCAACTGTCTCGTTTTCTAGGCAATGATCAAGGGAACACCCCGGAGTCCTTCGCCGTCAAACGCCATCCATAATGAAAACTAAAATTTGGGTCTCTGACATTAACAGAGACGACAAGCGAAAATGGGAGAAAAACCAAATGCAGGCACAACAGACTCAGTGAAAGACCATGAAAACGCGAGAGCCCACTGGAGCCCCAAAAACCGATGGCATCCTGCTTAACTAACAACATGACACACAGCCCAGAGAAAACTTCAAACAAAGGACGACCCCAACAAGCATCAAAAAACATATTCAAACGAAAAAATTGTCAAACAGAGCAAGAGAGAACGGGAGAAGCAAAGCGCTCAAAGTCCGTCCACCCGGCGACTCAAACACACAAAGCGAAGCATGCACCAACAAGGCCAACGGCACGAGCGACCCGCGAAAGCAAAAGGGATGGCATGAACTCACGCCACCGAGGAGCGCTGTTGAGGCAAAAATCGACGCCCGGAAGCTGGATTTTCACGGGGTGCGGCTGGAGCTCGTCGACCTTCGGGGCCGTCATCTTCGGGGGTGGTGCCGCCGCCTCTCCTCCCTAAGTCACGGTCAACAAGAGAACGCTGAAGCGTAACGTCAAGAAAATGGAGGGAGGAGCTTTGTAGGGGTGGGGGGGTGAAGGGGTCACAGCAGGTCGATCACGTCCGCATTAAATCGAGAGCCGGGAGAATGCGTGACACGGGCGAAGCAGAGACGACCCAGAGAAAGGAAAAAAAAGGGTCAGAAAAAGCAGAGAGTTAGGCGACTTAGGTGCGACCACAAGCACCCACCCAGGCACCCACCATCTTCAACAGGGCTTCCCCCCTCCTCCCTCGGTTGCTCCTGTGCCGATTTTCCTCGGCTTTCTGGTGAGAATTTCGTTGAGGGGAGAGGGCGACCAGTGTCTCACATCCTTGACGAGGAAGGCAACATCTCGCTCACCCGCAGCGAATTATAACGTCGGGGGAAGGAGGCTCACTCCTCCAGTCCTCCTGCTACTAATGCGTGCTGCACTGCGCAGTCAGACAATCACACCATCTCTGTCTCTCTGTGTTTCGGGTTGTTCTTTGCGTCCTTGGCGTGTCCGTTCGCGATCCCCGGGAGGCGAAATGACGGATCTGCCCTGGGAGGATACGGTGGGCACTGCGGACCCGTTGTTACGGAATAAATGGGGGATCGATTAATTAGCCCCCCGCGTAATCAAAACTATTTATTACGTGTAATAATTCCGTGAAAACGTCGGTGAAAATACTTTATGTTTTTTGGGCCCCGAACGAGGTTTAGCGGTTTCAGCATGCTGCTGTGAATACCCCATCTTTGGATAACATCGATCTTGTGCCATAACGATAAACAAGAAAAATGAGTACATGTGATTGCTATCGTCCTCCCTGTTGCTTTCGGAATTTCTTCGTAAGTCCGGAGATATTCGTCTGTGGAAATGTCTCTTTGGGGAGAAGAACGCACGACGCGACCGCGAAAGCGAGATGCTAGAAAACTGTGTGATCTTTGATGTTCCTTTCTATTCACGGAGGCTCGATCAAAAAGAAATCGATCGATTAAAGTACATCAAGTGCCAATCGCATATTTTAACCGCAATAGATTATGCATTTAAATCACAGCATCTCTCGTTCATGATAAGGCAAAAAGATTACTGATATCTTTCAAATATAACATAATTAAATACACATTTTAAATTTATTAATACTCGTGACTCGTGAGAATTAATTGAATCGAGATATTCAATCCTCCGATAATAAATATTACGATTTGAAACGAAAGGCAAAGCCCATGTTGGCTTTGCTTCGACTGGATGGACAGAAACTCCTCACGACGGAGGTAAGTCATTTTGATATTCCAATAATATTATCATTTTACATTTCAACTTTTTTAGTTATCATGGATGAAATAAGTGAAATATACATCCTTCTTTCCGTTTGCTTTGGTTAGCTCTCACTCATGACTTCTCTCTTCTTAGTTACTATTAGGGGTGAACGGTTCTAGAATGGATCAGTTCCCAATTTGTGGAACCGGACCGGCGAACCCGGTCCTAGAATCGGTCTGATTCTCGGGTCGGTGTCGGGATAGGTGATTTCTTTTTCTTTTCTTTCTTTAGTCCCTGCAAGTGGGAGTTTCTCAACTTTAAAAGAGAAAAAAAAACAACTTATTAATTAGGATTTGCAATAGAATATAAATTTTCAAAAAATTATGAAATAATAGCCGGTCCGGCTCCTCATGTGGAACCGAGAATCAGACCAACCCCCCCGGGTTCCAAACCCAGAATCGGCCAATTCAGTCCTGTCTGGTCCGGCTCTCGAGTTGGATCTGGAATGATGCACACCCCTAATTACCGTGGACCATAGTCCATATTACCCAAGCTTCCTAAAGATGCTAAGTTGGTAGTGGCAAGACATCTAATTGATTGACCCCAATACACGTTCTCAAATTTCCATATCTGCTCCACACGCATAACATCACTTATTAAGGTTAAATGCTTCTTGTTTAGTGTAAAACCACAATGTTGTCAATCATCGTTACCTCGCGAAAAAAAACGAAAAAAGAGAAGAGCTTCGTGATTTGTAATATCTATGTCAACATATTTTCTAATAGGAAATTTTTAAGGAGCGCCCTTAGATCGCTTGTTAAGTATTAATAAATGTACTTTGGAAATGTGATATTTTCCATCGAAGTAATTAGCTCCTACACAACAGGATACTTTTTCGATTTCCAAAATCTCCGGAATAGTGTTGTTTTTAATTTTGATTAACTTAATTAGTGTCCTAAAGATGCTTTATTAACAAAACCCCTTTTTTTTTATCCGACCGAAAAAAAAAACAAAATATGGAGGAAAGACATGATTTTGAAAGGATGATGTACCATAAGTTTATTAACAAAAAAAAAAAACAAAACCCTAAGTTTATTAACAAAACCCCCTTTTTTTTTATCCGCCCCAAAAAAAAAAAAACAAAACCCTTTTTTGAAAGGATGATGTACCATAAGTTTACGGAACAAAGACATGATTTTGCCATGTTTGTAACAGCAGATCGAGGCTACCTGGAATGATTTTTTCAGTGAAGCTCATGAAATTTCTTATAATTAAGCATGTAAAAAAGCTGATATTTTATATTTATTAGACAAATAACAACTCTAAATATAAGAAAGGCCGCTTTTTCTGGGCACCTGTTGGGTCATGTAACAGAACAAATCGAATTTAAAACACACGACATGGACGATTTTTTCTCTTTTAATGTAAGAATTACTTTTCCCGCAACACAAAAATGTCAAATTAACAACAAAAAAAACAGTTATCAATGGACTAACCTTATTATTCGCATATGGTAAGCTCACACAAAGTAATAATTTACAAACGAGCGGAGTTTTTCCAATCTTAATGTAATGTTAAGCCGTAGTATAGGTTTGTCTAGCTTCTTATCCCGATCGGTCCTACTCCATCACAGGAAAACCTCGAAATTCGCAAATTTCCTCTTCAATTTTCCGTGACGAGCAAGATCACATCGAGTAGATAAACCCCCATGTTCACAAAACTATACTCCCACTAATCTCAAAGATTAAATAAAACGCGAGCCAAAGCTCGGGTGGTCGGACGAGGTCCGAACATTCGATATTTCTTAGTATATGCCGTAACTACGTCTTTGTCTTGCTATAGATGGTTTGAAGTTAGGCACAGTTCCACCAATGGTATGCTCTTCCAATGCCAAATTTACTGAAATTTCTTTCCCAACCGTAACTGACGAAGACCAAAATTTTTTTTTTTGTTTAAACTCTTTTCTGACTTCTATGTTTGACCAACTAATTAAGGATGTAATAAATTCAGTTTTAAATACTAAGATTGTGGCCTAAATCAGTCCAAGGAAAGGTGATCTAACATGTCTCATCGCCCACCTCGTTAGGTATATGTTGGTCACCGAGGAACCGTTCCGAAAATAACGCCTTCTCCTCAATTAGGGTTTGCACCAAATGAGTATGCACTCGAATGATGCATAAATACAACCCACGTTTCAATGATTTTATTCGATTACACCACCACATTGTTTGAGAAAGTATTTCATGTATCAATTACATGCCGACCTTTTACATGATCGACCAATTTGCACATGACAACCAACTTATTCTGCGCTTAGATTTCGAAAAATTCCGGTCCATGCGGTGCATCCGACATAGAAAATGCCTTCTCGTTGAGCGACAAACGGGAGGGTTACCGTGCTCTTGTCATAAAGGACTCGAGTTGGAGACGACAGAGAACGAAAAGCCGGATTTACATATGAAGATTTTTATGTTTTCTCCATTTTGTTTTGTTTTCCCTGTTAATGGGTAATCACTTTTGCTTGCGATTGGATGGTTAATTCTTTATAATTTTATTTTTTTTTCGCCAAAAGAAAATTGTATTAGTAATTTTCCACATCCGCGATCTGCAACGTGAATTGAAGGTTCTTCTGGGCCTAGAAGCAGGTGGGGCGCTGAATCTCGTGGATGATTTTGGGCCATCCTTTTTTATGTACGCCTTCAATTTAGGGCAAACTTTCTGCTATCAAGCAACAGAGATGCGAAGGTTGATTCATGAAATTAAATATCTCCTCGTGCAGGACATCCATGTGCTAGGCAGATGCAATCTTCGCGCACTATAGGCATTCGATGGGCTTGACTGAATTTTATACTCTTCCGGGCTATGAACGGAAAATTTAATTGACTTTACGACCTCCCTAGTTGAGTTGGTCCAATTAGAATGCAGTTTATATGGGCTTATCACTACTAAATGCTGTTATTATGCAATTTAATGATATTTTTGTTTAGGGGTCGAGATCGGTCCCTAATTCTCTATGCAGTGAATGACTGAATGGAGTCAGTGTCAGTAGATACAGAATAGGTGATCTTAAACGATTTTTGTCAATTTAAAGTGGAAACAATTGATCACCGGTAAAGTCTAAACAATGTTCAGATTCTGACCAATTTAAATAGACAATGTGCTAGTGTGCAGTATGTAAAATAAGAGTTTAGAAATAGAGAAACTGCACATAAGAAATTATAGTGGTTCGGCTTAGATCAAGCCTACGTCCACTGTCCCATGCTGACAGCCTACCGGCTGGATTTCACTATATGATCAAGAAGAATTACAAGTTCTGAGTGATAACACTTAATGAATAATAGAACCCTCTATCTCACATAATCACTCTTACAAGATGTCCCTCAAGATCTCGGTGTTTTGCTCAGGAAAGACAAATAGTAGAATCGGAATGTGTTCATACTTTAGACTTGTTGATTCTTGATTTCGTTCAATAACCTTATGCTCCTCGTTAATCTCCTTTCATACTTCTCCACTTCCAAACTAGCCGTTGGACAGTCTTCAGAGGATTATCTTCCAATCTTCACCTTGGACAGATTTGTATAAAATGGATTGAGTAGCCGTTAGTTGACAAAATTTGAATCCCGCTGAATCTGATCGCCCATATAATCAGAATCTTGGTTTCCATAAGTAGAGCTTTATCCGTTGTGATATATATTTGTCATAATGTTTGATTGTCAATCAATTATAGCCTTAGATCGAGTCAACCAAAACTTTCCTTCTGTGAAATTCACGCCAGATCACTAGCCATTATGTTTCGTTCTGAATAAGTTCTGAGTCTGAATAACTTTTGGTTCTTGCTGTACATTCAGAACTTAAGTCAGTGTGGGTCTTCGGTAAGGTCTGAAGTTCTTTGTCTACTTAAAATAGAGTTTAAGTTACTTTTATGGTAGAGTCTGAACTTCTCGTTTTGAATCCCGTAAAGTCCGAAATCTTCCTTCTGAACCTCGTAAAGTCTGAGGTCTTCCAGAAAGTTTAGTTCTCTCAAAGTATTAAAGCTGCCACTTCCAGAATACATCTACCTGGATTAAAATACTTCAGAGTACATGTCCGATTTATAAGATTAACATGGATAGTTTTGTCCACTTCAAAATCTATTAAGATGTTTCCTCAACAGTCGCTTCGATGTATAGAGTAGTTGATCGTGACCCCATTCTGCTAATTGTTGAGCTCTCTGTTAGTTTTGTCCAAGTTTTTTAGTTCTTGCTAATCTTTTCTCTAAAGAAATGGAACATATCATGAGTGTTCCAACTTCCAAATGCATGATGAAATAGTTCGTTAATATAGGGCTATTTGCAAATATTTCCAATGGATTGTTTCTTTGGATTAATTTGTTCGTTTCTTGACCGTCATAGTTGCTACCCGAGGAGGTGAATTACCAAGAAAAAGTTAATAGATCTTTGATTAACGATAAAACAAGATCCATTTTGCATCATATCTAATAGATTCCTTAGATTAGGCCGAAGAAGCAATGTCACTCTATCATTATCATACTGACTATAATCTTGTTCTGTCCATGAGGATCCTACTAGGATCGCCTTCTACTTCTAAGCACATACCAATCACAACTTGAAATAATATATATTGCCTTTGTGGCGCCGCTACTAATCGGTTATGGTTGATTAGACACGAGCACATTCTACTACTTGCAATGCGGGAACTTGATTACGCTAAATTAATATAATGCCTTTATGGTACCAGTCTATGTCAATTTTGAACCACTAATATGTAATAGGAGATCATGCGAGTGTGCAACTAATAATGTAACACTCAATATCAATACGAAAAATGATTTGCTTGGAGAAGAGTATAGAACAAACAAAGCAAAAGCAAACTATATGCTCGATTTATGTTTTGACTTCCGTCTAAAACAAGAAAGCGGAAAGATATCTTTTTTATGAGTCACCTGTAATAGAAAGAAAATCTATTTTTACGAGTCACATCATTAGAGGAAAAACGGAATTGATTTCCGTCTAAAACAAGAAATAGGATAATGGAAACTTGTGGATAACTCCTCTGGCTGAGAAGATGGACATCTTCGACTCAATTTCTATATCGACGCGCTCTAAATTCGCTATTATGTAAACAAACCAGAATACATCTTCAAATTCTCGCCAATGTCGAGCTACCATTCTCCTTTTTCATCTCCTGGATGGCGCAAAACATTGACGACGAGGTCACTCCCTCTCGACCTCCTCCGCGACGTCCTCTCTCGTCTACCCACGGTATTGCTCGTCAAGCTACGGTCCATGTGCAAAGAGTGACCCAACATTATCGACGATCTGCACTTCACTGCCATGCACATCCTGAGCGGCGTCGAGAGTGCCCAGATTCTGCTACTTTCGGGCGAGTTTTTGCCTAGACTGAGCTAACGCTCATCAGTTTACTGGATAACCAATTGTATTATATGAGCTCAATTTTAATGAGTCGGGTGAGAAAGCTACGTTGCAGCAAAGAGCTATCTATCGTGATAATTTTGAGTTTCCACATGAATTGTTTAGGGGATATTTATAGTGTCGTGGCTATTATAAAAAGTGAAATAGATTTTATTATATGGCAATACTTGGTGTAATCTGGTATGAAGAGTGAAATAGATTTTATTATATGGCAATGCTTGGTGTAATCTGGTATTAAGAGTGAAATAGATTTTACTATATGGCAACACATGGTGTGATCACCTTACCCAAAAAAAAAAAAAAACACATGGTGTGATCTGATATGGAAAATGGCGACACGTGGTGTAACATGGTACGAAAAGTGCAATGGACATTGCTCTATGTCGACAGGCGGCTTTTACAAGTGGAAAAAGTGCAAAATCTCATCTTCCTTTTCTTCTTCCAAATTTTAATTTTTCGTTTGCAGGAAAGTGAAGATCAACGATCAAGTGCAGCTCTAAGGACAAAATGTTGAAAGGTTTAGGAGGCGCGCAAGGACTGGGAAATGGAGAATTTTATTTTATTAAGCGCGTTAATATGTCGTGGTGTGTTTCTTGGAAAAGCTAAGAAAAATTCACCTAATTTGTGGTGTAGTTAAGCAAGGTGTTAAATCTGGCTTGGAATTTTGAAGAGGTGGTGGGTGATGAACTCCATTTGATTGGGTGAATCATTTGTAACATGGCCGCTGCAAAATGTGCGACATGAGTTGGATCATTTGGATAAGAAAAATGTTTAGATGATACCGATTTTGTTTAGTAGATCATGCGTCTTATACCACCAATTTACAACTACATTTTGAATGTGTGTGTCTATACATACATATACATATATGTATATGAGTATTGGAAAAGTAGACTCGATAGCGTTCTTTTTCCACGCTGAATATGTCAAGAAAAAGATAAAATATGATCCAGAAGTTCATTGATGCATTGAGAGAGTCGAATTTCTTAACAGGCACGGTACTAGCGAGCAATGAATTAATCACATCTTTGCCACCTTCTCCTTCCTCTTCTCTCCTTTTATTGGGCCAATGAGAAAAATTTGTTCCCCGTCGACGGTTGACTTTCTTCATCTGTCAACAAACGAATAAAACAAATAAATAAACAATAAATAAATAAAAATAAATAATCGAGTGATGACAGCAACGCCGAGATCTATTTACAAAGTTTAATTCATTGAAGTAATGCGACGACGATTGATAATTGGGCACTCGGAACAATCGGGCCACCGGCGATAGTTCGTCATGTCGCTTAATTAAATCCGTTTCATGCATTTTTTTTAATACGAGTTGTTAGCGGAAAACGGGCATTCCGTAGGTGCAAAAATGGTGCCCTGGTTTTGTCTCGGCCAGTAATCACCCCAACCAGTCCAGCCGACCAAAAGAATGGCTTTTGGGAAATTGGTAGGTTGGTTGCTGGCTGGCTGGCCACCCTTCCCTTTTGTCTATTGTTGGGAATTGCGCAAGAAACTTAGGATAACACGAAATGGACATAGGAAGGAAAGACTTTGTTTAATGCTCGGGGCTGAGCCGACCGATTCTTTTTGTGCTTTGTGATTCAATTTGTCCTAACGATGGGCGGTTGGTACAACCAAGGTGCCAGCACATCGAATTTGATTTTTTTTTTGCTCCAATTGTATTCCTCACCGAAAAAAAACTTTTCCTCCATTCTCCTTCACCCAATTCGGTGATTACATTGATCAGAAGAAGTGATTGTTTTTCTACGAGAATTCGATATTTCGCGAAAAAAATAAAAGAAATTATGGGGAGTTGAGTAATTTCGATAAAATTATACTCTTTTGTAAACTGAATTATTTCGGAGTAGTCAATGAATTGGAAAGAAAAAAAGAATTACTCAGCGTGGTGCTGGTCGGGCCGTTTCATTTGTTCCTTCTCAGTGGGCCGCTCATTTGTCCTCCTCAGAATTCGAAATCGTCAGGAATTTTCCATTTCCAAGTGCACGAAAAAGGGAGAAATTACCAAAAAGGTCATATATACCTATTGTATCTGTATCGATTCTGTCGTAAACCTTTTAATTTGATCAATTTAGTCCTAAACCTTTTTAAATTGGTGCCAATTCAATTCATTCGACCAATTTAGGCCGGAAATTACTAACGCGGATATCAGCCGTGCTGAATTTCCAGCTTAAGTCGGTCGGATGGACTGAATTGGTACCGATTTGAAAATATTTATGACTAAATTGATCCAATTAAAATGTTCGGGATCAAATTAAACCCAATGCAATATATGTTCGTGACTTTTTCGATACTCTTCCCTTTTTAAAAAAAGCCCAAAAGATGAAGGGAATAACCGGCTTTATGAACAGAGCCGGACTGCACAAAAACACACCACAACCCCGAATTGAATCGAATTCAGTTTCGTGCGCCAACTGCCAAGCATCTCGTGGCCCGGCCAGATCGATACCTCGTTCTGCTTACGCGTTTCCAACACGGAATATCCACAACCTTACCTTAAAAAGCTGGCTCCAATAACCCAACCCCCCCTCCCCTTCCTTAATTTAAGCTAACGACATCATCATCCCTTCCTTCCTTCCTCTGTTCTTCTCCTTCTCGCTCGTTCTCTCGGATTCATCTCCCCTGTTTTTGGCCCTCTCTGTTCTTGCCTCCCCCACCCCGGCGCAAGAGAGAGGTTCTTGCCCGCGCGAGAGAGAGAAAGTCCAAGGAAACCCAGAAGAGAATCGAGGAGGAACGACCGGAGGGACGATGAGCTATTACAACCAGCAGCCCCCCGTCGGCGCTCCTCCTCCTCAAGGTACCCTTCGCGTGTCTGCTCCTCCGGATCGGAACTCTTCTTCTGGGTTCCGATCCGTTTTTTTCCGCCGTTGTCGCTTGTTGGGTTTTCCCTGTTTCTTGATTTGGGATCGTGATGTGGTTTCTCTTCGTTTGGGTTGTGGCGTTTTTTGGTTTGATTGTTGCGGGGCTTCGTTTGAGCGATCTGTTCTTTTCTTGTTTTTGGGTTGGATTTTGTGGGGACAGGATATCCGCCGGAGGGATATGCGAAGGAGGGGTATCCGCCGCCGGGGTACCCGCCGCAGGGGTACCCGCCGCCCGGGTACGCTCCTCAGCCCGGGTACCCGCCGCCCCCGGCCTACGCGCCGCAGTACGGGCAGCCGCCGCCGCCGCCTCATCAGCAGCAACAGAGCAGCGGCGTGGGCTGCATGGAGGGCTGGTGAGTTATCAAGACTTCTTTCGTTACAGCTCTTCCGCTTAGTCTTGTAAAGCTTTTGAGTGGTTAACAATGGCGATCGGCAATTGAAATCGCCCCGTTAAAAAACGGTGACCCTGATAAGGAGAAGGTTAGCGGAGATGGGTATGAACAGCGATTGATTCTGCTGCTCTTTTCGTCGCATGAATTTCATCTGAAATCGAGGGGGATGATGATTGGTTGGTGGGTCGTTGTGAGGTGGGTCTTTCCCGAGATGATCCGGAACCGCATGAATTTCCCAGGCCCAAAGCGTGGTTCCCCAGAAGAAGACGTCACCGTCATCGTGGTCTGCGTTGGAAAACGACTTTTTGGTCCTGTTCCCTCGTGGAAACCGGGGAATATGCCTTCTGATACTGATATAATTATGACAAATTACACGCCAAGTTGTAGCTAGGAAAATCATATTTAAGCGTCGATTGGCGTTCAAGAAGTTGGTAATGAGCAAATTTGAGAGGATCGTCAGGGTTTCTGTCCTGTCACTTGCTTCTAGTTTGTTGCCGTTTTTCTTCTGCCTGTGTAGTATCTATCTGTCGAAGCATTCGTTTGATTTAAGGATGTGAGAGTTGACCGTCTGAAAAATTTGCAGTTTGGCTGCTCTGTGCTGCTGCTGTCTCCTGGACGCCTGCTTTTGAAGACCCCGGAAGGCTTTCGTTGCAAGAGCAAACTCGTTCAAGTCTGTCCAGCGTTCAAGCTTCACACCCTCGTCTTCTTTTTTAACTTTTGTTGTTGTGTTTTTTTCTTGAACTTGGCCCTCGCGGGTGAGAATTTGCGCATCTCTTGATTGCGTTTTAGCAGTTTTAATGTCTGAATCTTCGTCCCTAGTGGTAGCTTCAAGTCGGGTCCATTTGGTTTTATAGATCCGCTCTCACCGTCCAGTCATGGAATTCGCGCGCGTCATGTGTTGAAGCTCAATGTAGGGGGTCTCACTACTATGAGCGAACATTAAGTCAATAGTAACTAATGCCTTGATTTTCTAGAACGTCTTGCAATGAATTGCTCTTGCTATTGAGATTACACTACCATGAGACGGTAATCCGTGCGTCGTATTCTAATATTATAAAAAGATTAACAATCTAAGATTTTAGGTGTTGAGTTTCTAGGCAACCGTTAGAGAAGAACCATAGAGAAGAAGAGTGTCTAGTATATTTCTATAGATTTTCTTTGTATTACAGCCACATTAGTAGGTCCTCGTTAGCACATTCAGGCATCACGTTTTGGTGCGAAGAGGAACAAGGCGCAAGGCCTCTGTGTTCTTGCAAAGTGTTCACTTTTTCCCAAAAAGAGATCTCTATTTCCAATCAAGATCGGGTCAAAAAGATGATTATTTTATATTTTGAATGAGAGGCATGACATTGACCGACACTAATGCCCATGATAAGAACAAGAGGAAACCCACATGAATCGTAACCTAACATCTTGGAGGGCCATATTCAACACTGTTTAGAGCATTAGCTCTGCACCCATTTTCTCTCGAGTCTAGAAGGTGGGGATCCGACGCCCCCCACTTCCCTCATTTGAACGGTGGTGATGCGAATTAACACGTGCTCATTGTAGCTATACATGGGAAATCCATAGCAATTGACGGTACGATGAATTGTTTCTTCATTGAGAATCTGAGATAAAAAAGAAGATAGGCGTCGCTAGTAGAATCATTCTTGGGAAGTGTGATTGTACATCCCTTTCGGCCCTCAAAAAATGATTGTTACTTAACCGAGTAAAACTAAGTCGGTCAAGTTATCGCAGAGCATAGTTAAATCGTAGATTTATTTCTGGCCACATCAAAGTAGGGAGCAAGCCTAAAAGTATATTAGGAATGATGTCAACATTTATGCTCCGTTTGTTTCGCAATAAATGTGACATTTCTAAAAAATATTTTCTAGGAAGTCATTTTATAGAAAATGACTATTTTTCAGTATTTAGTTGAAATTTGAAAATGAATTAGAAAACATTTTTCGTCGTTCGATATTAAATATCTAATTTGATTTTCCCAGGAAAAATTAACAAAAAATTCGAATTTTTAATTTTTTTCTTTTCTTTCCTTTTCTTTTTCCTTCTTCTTTGGTCTGTGGCCAGTCATGGTGATCAGCCACAGGTAAGGGACGAGCACGTCCAAGGCCGGCAAGGCTCGACCTCGCTAGATTTTAGCGAGCCGAGCCGAGCCGAGCTAACCTTGGGCGAGGCTCCACCTCGCCAAATATGATGAGGTAGAGCTCGCTGCAACTCGTGAAGCCTCGAGCTCGCCACAACTTGCCGACCTCTGACTCAAGCTCGAGGCCTCGCCAGAGGTAGTCAAATCGATTCCAACGAGAACAAGAAGGAAGAAAACTAGAACCTGCTTGCAAAGGACGTCCAATGAGCTCGGCACATCCATGAATCAAACGACTAAACTAAATTTATCGCCAAATTGAAATGGAGATGGCGACGAACGCGACAAGAATTCTTCGTGTGGGATTGATCCCAGAACTTTTCTCTGATTCTCGTAGCAGATGCAAACGGTGGTAATCGGAGGTTCATGTTGCTGATTTCGTGCTCGCCAACCTTCTGGCTCGAGCTTGAGGCCCTGCGAGTCACGGCGAGCTCGACCTTTGGCAAGGTCTCGAGCTCCCCAATTTGGCGAGGCTCAAGCTCAACCTCGCGCCTTGCCGGTCTTGAGCGAGCTTAAGGAAGAAGGAAAGAGAAAAAAAAAAAAAGGAAAAAATTGACTTTTTAATTTTTTTTTATCAAGAACGAGTGTTTCATTAACTAAGGACCTGCGCTCGACCTTTGTGAACCCAGGCCTGAGTGCCGCGGATTAGAGCTCAAGCATTGGGGACCCAAGCATGACATTTATGGACCCCGGGCTTGGGTGTCGGGACATCGAGCATAGGCACCAAGGCTTCGGGCCCAACCTCGATGGACTTGAGCCGCTAGGGCACCAGGCCTGAGCACCGGGGTCCCCGGCTCAGCATCGATGGACTCGGGCCCAGGCTAGAGACTTGGATCTGAACGCCAAGGACCCGGAACCAGCGTCGATATTTTTATGCCCAAGCGTAAAGTTTCAGGTCCAAACGTCGATATCTAGTCATATTTTGGAAAATATTTTGCGATTTTTCAAAGAGGAAGAAGTCATTTTCCTGAATTTAAACCTAGATTTTCTGTTAACTCATTTTTCTAAGTGAACGAAATGCCGAAAAATGAAGAAATTGTAGCGAAGCTTATTTACTAAGGGAAGAGTTAATATTTTTTGTAATCTTAACCCATCAAATGCTAAAGTACTACGATGTCACCAGAGTTTTGAAGCGAGGGTGTAAATATGTTTCTTTTAACCAATGACGGGGTCGAAGTTTAAATTCCTCGAAGTTCAGGGGGGCCACGGCACAAGCAATCACCGACACGTGTGCATCCAATCCGACGTGTCCATGTAAAAGATCTGAAATGCTCACGTTGATCCGAGCTCCCCTCTTATATCAAACCCATGGAAGGAGCGGAAGAACGAATTTTGAGCGGAACGAACCCTAATTAGGGCAAAGCTCCTCAATCTCCAGGACGGGAACCCTAATTTTGTGAGGAAATCTCTCTCTCTCTCGCTCTCCTCCTTAATCGAATTTGATGCCTTTGCATTCCCAAATCGACGTATACCCTTTGCTGAATACCAATTGATCTTTGGTCCTATACCAATCACTAGGGTTTCTCAATGTGGAGGTGCTTGATTTTCTTGCGTTTGCTTGGCGGCGTTTTCCGTGTTTGATTGGGGCGGCTGCACGTTGTTAGGGTCCCGTGTTGCGTTAGTGTCGGGCCGATTTGTGCCGGTTTTCGGTTTTCGGTTCGTTTCGGCTAATGAATTATAGTTTCCCACCTCAATTGCTCGTTGGAATTTCGGGTGGTGATCGAGTTTTTCTCCCCGTGTTTATCGGGTTGGAGATAATCGGGTGCTTTGTTTTTAATTCTCAAGAATGAGGTGATTTCTCCGGATTCGGACGTGTTTATAGTCTTGAAGGCGGGGGATCCAACGGCCCCCTGGCATCCCTATTAGTATTCCCGAATTGGAATGGTGGTGACGTCAATTAGCTATACGTGTGAAATTCGTAGCAATTGACGGTGCGATGAATTGTTTCTTCATTGGGTTAGAAAAAAAGATAGACGTCGCTAGTAGAATCATTCTTCGGAAGTGTGATTGTACAACCCATTCAGCCATCAATAAATGATTGTAAATGAATCGAATGAAACTAAGCCGATCGAGTCATCGAAGAACATAATTAAATCATATATATTTGTTTTTGACCCTATCTGCCTCTGAGTTTTGTGGATACATTTATCTACGATTGAACAGATGATTAGAAATGAGGATAGCTTCTCTTTCCCATTTAATGTGCTTGTGCTAGTTGAATTTACGAATTTCTACCCCTTTCAAGTTCTTAGGTTTGCTACCGTAAACGATTTATTGCGCTCGAAAATGGTAGCTTGAGCTATGATTTCTTTCCTTATTCTCATTCTAGATTTTCGCGAATTTTGAGTCAGGCAATCTCATATTCGGTTGCCTTCTTTTGTCTTGCCACTCGGCTTTGTGTTCAGATCTTTGGGGTAAATTTGTAATTACACCTTCTGATGGGCGCGCCGAAGCAAAAATGGACATCAGAAGAGGAAGCGGCGCTGAAGGCTGGGGTTATAAAGCATGGGGCTGGAAAATGGCGTACAATTCTCAAGGACCCTGAGTTTAGCGGCGTCTTGTATCTGCGCTCAAACGTCGACCTGAAGGTATGCGTAAGAACCTCAATCTCTATTCGTAGGACAGATCTTTGTTAGTTTCTTCGTCAAAAGTTTTCCTTCCAGTTTATTACAGAGCCGTTCGGCTTTCATGCTATGTAGGACAAGTGGAGAAACATGAGCGTGATGGCTAATGGTTGGGGTTCACGAGACAAGGCTAAGCTGACTGTTAAGAGAGTGCACCATGTGCCTAGACAGGAAGAGAGCTCTGCAGCTGCTAGGATTGCTGTCCAAAGTGATGAGGAAATGGTGGATATTAAAGATCTTTCAATTTCTGGTGATGCTCTGCACATTGATGGTCCAAAGCGATCTATTGTTAGGTCAGCTCTTCTTAATGATAAGGCCTATCATGTAATATGTGGCCCTAGCGTATTTTTTACTCCTCTTTGTTAAGTTTGTCCTTTATTTATTTCTTGCTTCATTCATATAATTAGATCTTGTGGTTGTGATGCATCATAAATGCTAGAAGGCCTAGTTGCATGAGAAAGTATTATCATTAGTGTGGTTCTGAAATGGATATGATGCTATAGAAAGTTTGATTATCCTTGAGGAAATCGGAGGGAGCATAATCATAAATAGATAATACTTAAAAAGCAGCGCCTTCGAAGGTTGAGGACAGTAGTCTAGCACGGAGTTCTCACTTTTCTGAATATATATATTTTGATCAATGTATCAGGACTTTGGATAAAGGTGTGGTGGTTGGTGCCAAAAGTATAATTTGCCATAAGTGTTTTGTACATTTAAATAACTAATCAGGTGAAAATAATAAAATAGAAGCCCTACCTATTTGGAGGTTACAGTCTGTAAGTTCTAGTCAGAGATTTTTGATTCCAGCGAATATTTGTTGTCGAAGGTTCAAAATCATATGCAAGAAGATGTAATGCAGAGATAGTTTAATGTGGCGAATACATCTCCTAGGCTGCATAACTTTACCACGAGTGACATACTTGGTCCGGAAAAGTTTTCTGAATTTGGGCGCTTGAGAGTTGAGTGGAGGCTAATTTCTTAAGGACTCTGCAGTTATAGACTGCTGTGAATTCTTGACAAACCTTGCAACTACTTTTCTTGAAGTCATATTTTTCAGACTTTTGGTTCCTTGTTTTGCCATGAT